CCCCCCGCGCGCGACCCTGTTGCCGAGCCTTCCCGTGGGCTCCCTCCCCTCCGCTGGCCCCTCGGCCCTCTCCTCCTCCCCTCACACATATCCACGCTGCTCCCTTCCGCCCCCCCCCCCCTTGCCGGCCTGCAGAGCTGGCTCGGATCGACCCGGCCGTCTCGGTCGTTTGCGATGTCCAGGTACGCCCCTCGCACAGGCACATGCACGCGCGCGCCGGCACCGGCGGCCTCCCGCTCACCTCGCGCGCCCTCGCGGCCCCGGCGGCCACAGAACACCCTGGTCAACACGGTCTTCCGTAAGTACGCCTCCGAGGACCTGCAGAAGCGCTACCTGCCCCGGCTGGCCACCAAGGCCGTCGGCAGCTTCTGCCTGTCGGAGGCCGGCTCCGGCTCGGATGCCTTCGCCCTGCGCACGCGTGCCGTTCCGCAGGACCCGGCCGCCGCGCCGACCGCCACCAGCTACAGCCTGTCCGGCACCAAGATGTGGATCACCAACGCCGGCGAGGCGGACGTCTTCCTGGTCTTCGCCAACATCAACCCCGAGCTGGGCTACCGCGGCATCACCTGCTTCGTGGTGGAGCGCGACATGCCGGGCGTGTCGGTCGGCCCGAAGGAGAAGAAGCTCGGCATCCGTGCCTCCTCCACCTGCCCGGTCATCCTGGAGAATGTCGTGGTACGTGGCCGCGCCCTGGAGGGCGTCTGTCTTCCGTCTCCCCTGCATCCTCCCATGTGTCCTTCCCCCCTCCCCTTGCGCGCCTCACTGCCCGGCCCTGGTCTCACTGTCCCTGTTGCCCTTTGGCCGTGTCCCCTCGCCGTGTTCTTTTCCTGTGCTCCTTCGCTGCGAACCTCTCTTGTCTTCCCCCCCCCCCTGCTCCTCTTCACTTGCCCCTCTCCACTTGCCCCCCTCTTCACTCGCCCCTCTTCACTTCCCCCCCCCCCGCCCCACACACACACACACACACACACACACACACGCACACCCTTCCAGGTCCCCCCCGAGAACATCCTCGGCGAGGTCGGCCGCGGGTATAAGATCGCCATCGAGATCCTCAACGAGGGCCGCGTCGGCATCGGCGCCCAGATGCTCGGCCTGGCCCAGGGCGCCCTGGATGCCACCATGCCCTACCTGTACGAGCGCAAGCAGTTTGGCCAGTTCATCGGCGACATGCCCCTCATGCAGGCGCAGTACGCCCAGGCGGCCGTCGAGATCGAGGGCGCCCGCCTGATGGTGTACAACGCGGCCCGCCTGTGCGAGCGTGGTGCCCCCTTCGTCAAGGAGGCCGCCATCGCCAAGCTCCAGGCCTCCCGCGTGGCCGAGAGCGTGGCCTCCAAGTGCGTGGAGATGGCCGGCGGCGTTGGCTTCACCCGGGACTTCCCGCTGGAGAAGTTCTACCGCGACGCCAAGATCGGCGCCATCTACGAGGGGACCTCCAACATCCAGCTCACCACCATCGCCAAGATCCTGGCCGCCGAGTACAAGCAGTAAAGGCGCTCCCTCGACACCGGCCCCTGCCGGCTGCCCGCTCGGCCGCCGCCCTGGGAAGAAGAGCACGGCACGGCACGGCCCCCCCCCCCTCCCTCGCCCCGCTTGGATCCGGCCCTCCATCGCCGTGGTCCGCCCGAGCATCCATGCGCAGGCGTGCTCCCCCCCCCCCCCCCCTCTCCCTCTCTCTCTCGTGCTCCCCGGCCCCCCGCCTCTGAAAGACCATCCTCGGGCCAGGGTCGGAGGGAAGACCGCGGCCGCGCGGGCATGCTCACGCGCACCGCAACAACAAAAAATAAAACACCGCACACCGCGCCTCCCTCTTTCTCCCATTGCGGCGCGCACATAGGAAGATTAAAAAAAAAACAGGCATATCCGCGCCGGGCCCTTCACGCCGGCCTTTGCCCAGCCCCCGGCGCACGGCCGGAGGCGCATCCGTGGGCACCTCCTCCACGAGGCGCGCCCATCAGGCGCGGGCCAGGGATGATGGGAGAGATTGCGGGCCCGGGGCAACGTGGCGGCCGGGCGCCCGAGGGGCGTCCACGACAGCAGGCCCGACGCTAGAGCGTCCCCCCCCCCCTCGCGGGGCGGCCAGCCCAGGGGGGTGGGCTGCGTGGGAGAGGGGGAATCTCAAGCCAGTTCTTCGGCCGGCTCGGCCGAGCCCCGAACCCTGGACTGCCGGTACTCCCCTCCATCCTGCTCCCCCCCCTCCCTCCCCCCTCCCCCTCCTGCTCCCTTTGCCCGGCGTTTCTCCTCGCCCCCGTCACGCTCCCAACGCCTCCCCCCCCCCCTGCCCGCCCACCCCGCGCTGGCATGCTTCGCTCCGCCCGCGCCGTCGGTGCCGCCGCGCTCCGGCACCTTGCGACTCCCCCCTCGCGGGCGGGTGTCGCCCTGTCGGACCCGCTCGGCTTGCTCCGGCGTCCGGGGCTCCTGCCAGCCGCGGGGCAGATCGTCCGGGCCCGGCACTCGTGGGCCGGGGCGCCGCCCTCGCGCGGGCCCCCCCCGCCCTCGACCGACGATGACAAGCAGATCCTCAAGCGCCGGCTGAAGTACCAGCAGCACGCGGCCACGGTCGCCGGGCCGACGCCGTTGCGGCAGCAGCCACAGCAGCCGCAGCACCGGCCGCACCACCCGCACTCGCACTCGCAGCATCAGCAGCGCGGGTCGCCTTCGCGTGGTGGCCGCAACGCCAATGCCGGTGGTGGTGGCGGCGGCGGCGGCGGCGGCCATGGCGGCGGCTACGCCGACCGGCGCGGTGAGCGGGGCCCTCGCGCTGATCGCGGAGGCCGCACCGCCCATGGCGGCCCTCGCACCCGCGAGGATCGCGGCCATCATGGCCAGCGCAATGGCCGGCCCGGCAGGACCGCCGACCGTCCGGCGGATATCCCCCCCCACGGCCGGGACACCATCCCCTCCGGCCCGACGCCGGATTGGGTCAACCGCCTCCCCACGCCGAACATCCCCACCACCCTCATCACGCCGGACCTGCTGGCCCGGATGGGCACGCGGGCGGCCGGCACCGCGGCCATGGCCTCTCTTGCCACGGTGGCTCCCCGGTTCGGGGGGTCATCTCGGCCGGGCTCGGGCTCGGGCTCGGGCTCGGACGTGGGCCCGCGCGCGCGGCCCCGCTCCCCGGGCCCTCCTGCTCGCGGTCCCGGCCCCCGCGCCTCGGGCCCTGCCGCTCGCAGCCCGGCCCCCGGCCCGGTCATCTACGAGCCGGAGTTCCCGGAGTTCATCACCCGCGGCAAGCTGTCGCCCACCGACCGCCTGCGCATGGTCCCCGACTTGCGTACCATGGTGCCGGACTTCGCCGCGACCACCCTCTCGCCCGTGCTCATCAAGGTCCTCCGCCAGCGGGGCATTTCCATCCCCTCCAAGCCGCAGTCCACGTCGCTGCTGGCCGCCCTCTAGTGCGCCCGCCCCCCCCCCCCTGCCCCCCTGCCGACCCCCTCCTCGCGGGCCGGCCCGCCGGCCCCGGCCCGGCCACATGCGCTGACCTCCCTCCTCCCGCCTGTCCCCCCCCCCCTCGTGCAGCGGCTTCGACGTGGCCATCGGGTCCACCCTCGGCAGTGGCAAGTCCCTGACGCTGGTGCTGCTGATGGTGCAGAAGATGATCGCCGCGCGTGTCCTTTCCCTGCCGTCGGCCGTGCGCCGGACCCTGGAAGCGGACCTGGCCGGGCCCGAGGCCGAGCTCCTGGCCCAGACGTCGGCCGTGGAGCTGGAGCACCAGAAGCGCGTCCGGTTCTTCCGGGAGCTGGAGCGCCTGGGCGCCGCCCCGCCGCCCGGGGCCCCGGGCCCCGGCGCCGCCGGCTTCCCGGAAATTTGCCACCTCCCCCTGCGGCAGATTTGCGTTGTCCCCTCGCAGCAGCTCCTGGCCCAGCTGACCCGGTGGACGTGCGATCTGTGGTTCGCGGCCGACGCGGCGCTCATGGCGGCCGTGCGCAGCCGCTGCCCGGACTTCGACCTGGCCGGGTTCCTGGCCCGCGCGGCCAGCACCCCCGCCTCGGTGTCCGCCTGCGAGGCCGACGGTCTGATTCCCCCGATGCCGGGCAGCGCGTCGGCCGGGGAAATGCGCTTCTGGGTGCAGGCCCTGGCCCGGGGGGTCGGCGGCCCGGGCGGGCCATCTGCCCCGGGGCCGAGCCCGGCCCCGGCCTCCTCCCTGTCCATGCTGGATGAGCGCGACGCCTTCCCCGAGACCGCCAGCGCCGGCCAGTGGGTCGAGCTCTCGGACGATGAGGGCACCCTCACCGATGAGGACCCGGAGTCGGGGCTGGCCATGGCCGACGGCCACAGCGATGGCGATGGCGATGCCGATGCCGATGCCAATGGCGATGGCTTGCCCGGGCCCTGGCCCAGCCTCGATGATGCGCGGGCGTCCAACCCGATCCCGGCCCCGGGGTCGGCTCCGGCGGCCACCCCGGCCGCGGCCACCCTCCTGGACCCGGATGCCTTCATCGCCGGCGGCCTGGCCCCGGCCATCGGGGCGCCCTTCACCCTGCTGGTCACGCCGACCATGCTGCAGGACCTCCTTGATCGGGATGAGCTGCCGCTGGGCCGTGTCCAGCTGCTGGCCGTGGACGAGGCCGACGCCGTGGTCCGCCCCGTGGGCCGGTATTCCACCAAGCGCACCAACAGCAAGCACCACCTCCATCCGCCCAAGGGGGCTCTGGCGCTGAAGGCCATCCGGCCCCTGGTGGACTTCCGCTGCCAGACCGTTGTCACCAGTGCCACCTTCAACAACCCCACGCGCTATGACTTGCGGTGCGTTCGCGCCCCTCCCCGAGGTGGGCCTTGTCTGATGTCTTGCTCTCCTCCCTCCCTCCTCTAACCTGAACCTCGCCCTCCCCCCCGTCCCCGGTGTACCGCCGTACGCACACGCACGCACGCACAGCGGGATGGGCTGGCTCGCGCGCCCCCTCTACCAGTCGGACCTCGGCCCCAACCGGTCCTACCTGCAGGAGGGCATCGTCCAGTACTTCGTGCCCATTGAGGACCTCATGCGCTCGGACCCGACCCTGGACGAGATTGATCGCATCCTCCTCCAGGGCGCCGGCGGGGAGGCCGACGCCACGGGCCCGGTCCAGGAGGACTTCGACGAGGAGGTCATTTCCCCCGAGCAAATGGCCATCCTCCTGAAGAAGGACCCCTCCCTGATGTACACCCCGCCGCCGGGCACGCCCGACGACCCGCAGCAGCAGCCGCAGCAGCAGCAGCAAGACCCCACCGGGCACGCGGGCCACCCCCAGGAGGACGCCTGGTCCACCGACAGCGACGAGGACGCCTGGTCCACCGATGGGTGGGGCAGCGACCTCGACCTCGACGACTTCCCCCGCGAGGATGTCGACGCTCTGCTGGACATCAGCCGGACCTTCCCGCCGGAACGCCTGCGCGAGCTGGCCGTCATCGGCCGGTCCATCAGCTCCTACCAGCCCACCTCGGCCATCCTGTGTGTCGGCGAGCAAATCAGCGTCCCGCGCTTGGTCGACACGCTGACCCTGCTGAACCGCATCCATGGGCTCGGCTTGCCGGTGGTGCACAATCTGGATGAGCTGCTGCTCCACTCGCGGCCGATGCTCTTCCAGCCGGAGCTTCTGACCCGGCACCGGACCCCGATGGACCAGCTGGCCGGGCGGATTGACCGCGCGGCCGGCGACCCGGCCTCCGGGGCCCCGGGCCCGGACGCCGAGTTGGACCTGGACCCGGCCGACATCGGGTCCATGGATGCCCATACGCTGGATCGCTTTGCCCGGCGGGCGTCGCAGCTGAATCGCCCATTCCCCGGGCCCGGGCTCTTTGTGGCGCGGAATTCCACCGTCCGCGGCCTGGACACCCGCGGCCTGAGCCATGTTTTCATTTACGACCTGGACACGTCCAGTGCGTCGGCCCGAATGGCCTTCCCTCCTTTTGCGCGCGCGCGCACACACACACACACACACACACACACACACACACACCGCCCCCTCCCCCCGGTGCCATGTGCCTGCTAACACCAAACCCATCGGCGCACGCCCACACACCAGCCAACCATCACGCGCAGTACCTCCACTCGATTGGTCGCCTGTGTCGGCGCCCGGGCGAAACCGGCGTCAGTGTCCTGTACTATGGCACCCCGGATGCGGCGTATGTTGACCGCCTGCGCAAGGACCTCTCCCTGGCCGAGGCAGATGGCGCGCTGGACGCCCTTGGCCCGGCCGCCGGTGCCGGCCCCGGCCAGGAGGATGAGGATCAGCAGCAGCAGCAGCAGCAGCCCCAGCTGCCCGAGTGGGTGCTCAAGCGGGAGTTGGAGCTGCAGAAGCGGCGCGAGAGTGTTCGCCGCCGCCGGGCTCTATTTGCTTAGCATCGCCATGCTGCCTGGGTCCGTCTCCCTCTCCTTCGCTGCACGCCTACCCCCCCATAGATAGAATAGATAGACGCACGCGGACTCGCGCACGAGAAGCAACGCGCCGCTCACTGAGCAGGCATGGGTCCCGGGGGGATGGGACGCCGAAAGAAAGAGCGGCCGGGGGGAGCGACGACGGAGGAGGGACAGCCAGCCCAGCGGCTGTGTGGGCTGCCGCCGACGGCGGGGGCGCACGCACACACAAACACAGGCACGCTCCTGCAGGCGGTGCACTTGCTGCGGCACCGGAGAGAGAGAGAGAAAGGCCGGCAGAGGGGGAGAGAGGGGACCATTTCCTGCGCCCTGGCGAGAAGAGCCCCCCGCGAGGGGGGGACTTGACAGAGAACGGATATACACACGGAAAGGCATAGTACATTTGGAAGTACACATCTATAGAAAAAGGGGGGGGGGCATTGGCATGCGCACACACCAGCACACGGGCGGTGCGCACACGCGAAACTCTGAGAAAGGGAGAGAGAGAGAGAGAGAGAGAGAGAGAAGGGATGTGGGACCGGTGCCGGTGCCCAAGCAAGCATGGGGCCCCACCCAAAGGGCACGCCGGCCACATGGGGGGAGAGACGGGGCACGGGAGAACACAAGGCCCTGCCACGAGGGAGGAAGAAGAGGAAAAGCGAAAGAAGCCTAGGAAAGGGCGCGCCCCGGCGCAGGCGGATCCACGGGAAGACCCGCCGTGCCGCGACGACGGCGGCATACACCGCAAAAGGGCAACACCAGACATCCATGCGCACGCCCCTCCGGCAGGGGGGTAAAGAGAGGCACAGACCGGAAGGGCGGGCACCGGGCATCCGGGGCGCCTCGACAGCGCCCCATGCGCATCAGCGCACCACGACGAGCACGCGCAACCACGGACGATAGGGGGGCGTGGCCGGGAGGGAGGAAGAGAGAGAGAGAGAGAGGAGAAAGAAGACCGGCCCCCGGGGAGGAGAGGACCCCCTCGTCCCAGGGCGCCAGGCCGCGCCTCGCCCCTTGGCTCCCCTTTACGCGAAGAAGTACTGCGAGTCGCGAACCGCCGACACATCGAAGGTACCACGGTCCGGCACCGGGCGGATGTACAGCTTCCGGTAATTCGACAGGACCGACGTCACCAGGACATTGTTCACCCGGGACAGATCCAGATCCAGGTCCGACACCACCATGTTGTCGTGCAGCGGCAGATCCCGCACAACCTCGCGCGAACGGCGTGACCGCTCCCGGCGCTGCGCCTGGCGCATGGTGTTCATGGCCCGGAAGTCCGCGTGGCGCTCCAGACGCTGGGCATCCTCCACCTCGGACGCCGAGTACAGCGGGTGCGGAATGCGCGCAAACGAGTCGGCCAGCGTCCGGACCGGATGCACCGACAGCACCTGGGCCAGATCCGCCTCGCCAGGGGCCAGCACCGAGGACACATCCACCCCGGCGTGGAAGTTCCACAGCTGGTTGCTTGGGTCGGACGACTTGCCCGACACGCCGGCCTGCGTGCGGCCCTCCTCCGAGAGGGAGCCGCCGGCCTCGTCCGAAGTCATGGCCCCGGAGGCCGACGGGTCCACCAGGTCATCCTCATCCGGGCCGAGCTCGCCCTCCATCATGAGGTCCGAGTCCCCGACCACGGACATCTCACTGCCGACGGCCCCGCCGAAGCCGGACGCCGCCACCGAGGCCTCCTCGTCGTGATCGCCGAAGGCGCGCACCGCGTTGCGCACGTGCGCCGGCGGGTAGCTGCTGTGCACGATGTGCGACGAGTACCGGCTCAGCAGCTCCGAGCGCAAGTTCTCCATGATCGGCTGCGAGTGCAGCTTCACGAACTGATCACGAATGACATGGTTCAGCGCGTCCACATCCGACGGGTGTGTCCAGTACGAGTCGTGCACCGAGGCGAACTGGATCGGCTTCTCGAGCTGTCGCCGTGAAAGAGAGCCGCGAGGCGCCGAGGTGCCGCGGGCGGGAGATGAAGAGGGAAGGAAGTGTAAGTCATTGCGGTGAGTGGCTGTGCAAAGGGAAAAGCGACATCATGCAGGTGTGTATGCCCCCCCCCCCCCCCCCCCCCCGGCACCTCGGCGCCTCGCTCCAGACGTACATCACGCGCGCACGAAAGCGCCGTCATCAGCATATGCGTCGAATCCAGCGAATGGATGAAGTTCGGCGGGAAGGCCGCACGCTGGCGCCGGACATTCACGAGCGCCTGGGCGCCGGGGTCCATCACCTGAACCGTTTGGATGGTGGTGCGGATCTGCACGCGCGCCGGTCCAACGACGATGGCCATCGCACGTCATGCCCCGCCGCCGGGGGGAAACAAAAAAGACACCGCACAGGAGGGGGAGAAAGGGCCAACAAGCAATCGGTCAGTGAGGGGCCGCGCGCGCGCGCGCACACACACACACACACACACAGACACAACGGGACCAAGACCCCAAAAAGCAAGCAGCGAGGAGAGCGTGCCGAGAGGGAGGCAAAAGAAACAAGCCCCCCCCCCCCCCCCCCCCCGCCCAGGGGACGGGGAGGGGAAAAAAGAAGGAACAAGGGAAACCAGCACAAACCCACGCACCGTCCGAAGGCCACCCTTGCGGTAGGGCTGCACAATGGGCAGACCCAGCGGCGTGGTCCAGATGACCTCGCTGGTCCCGTCGGCCGGGCGCAGCTGGTTCAGCAGCGGCCCCGAGCCGGCCACCCCGCGCAGGGTCTCCTCATGGCGATCCATGACCGTGCGCAGGACCTGCTCGCGCATGCGCGACCGCGACACCTCCTCCGCCGCATCCGACAGCCAGTTCTGGATCTCACGCGCGCCCTGGAACATTTGCTGCAGCGAATCGAACACCTTTCGCGTCAGGTACCAAGACACCCGGTAGAAGTCCCGCTCCGGGACCATGCTCTCCTCGCGCAGGCGGTTCTCAATTTGCAACCGCGCGCCGATGAAAGTCACACCATAGACATTGGTCATGACCGTCTGCTTGACCACCTTGCGGGACACCCGGCCAGACATCATGGACGCAATTTCCCGCAAGTTGGCCGGCGTGCTGGGATCCTCCAAATCCTTGCGGATCAAATCCTCCACCACATTGGCCACAGCCAGGTAGACATCCTGCGGGGTGTCGCTGCCGACCAGGTTCACCGACATGGCACCGGCCACATCGCCACCCAGCGCCGCGTAATGCTGCAGCCCATTGCAACTGCCATCCTGGTGCACCGGCAGCCGGCACTCATACTCCTCCGGCCGGTCCAGGGCCATGGCATTGGCATACTCGATGGTGGTGGCCAGCACCTGCCACGGGTCTTCGGTGTCCTGCCACCAGGTGTGCTTCAGCGGATCGGCCGCCGTGGCGATCAGCCTGTCCCGCATGCCGTCCACAATTTCCACACGCTCCGAAAAGGCAATCTTATCATGGCCCAGGACATTCGACAAATGCACCTTCAGCCAGAAGAGGCCCCGCTCGCCCAAGGGCCGAGCCTCATCAAAGAGCAACAACCCGCGATTCAGATCGTTGCCCAGATGATTCAGATGCGGCGGCACCGGGTACGCCCGGCCACGGAAGTCCAACGTATGCGGGAAGTACAACGGACCCGAGGCATAGGCGCGCGCCACTTCCAGCGTGTAATTCGTCGAACACCGCAAGGCATGACGCTCGCGATTGATCTTGATGGCCTGCCGCGTGTCGGCCGTCAATTGCCGGCGCATCATCGCCGACAGGGACGTCATGTCGGCCGGCATCTCCGGCAGGGGGATGTCTTTCCGGTCCGGGATGGCCGCCACCCCGCCGCCATTGTTCCACACGGCCGATGCCACATCCAACACGCGGGTGTTGATGCGCCAGCGGGTTTGGCCCAGGACATCCAACGCCGCCAGGACCTCCGTCAATTGCCCGGCATACGAAGCCGCGCGGAGCATTTGGAATTGCAAGCGCGACCCGCGAATGCGCATGCACGGCCGGTCCTGCGTCAAGTACCCGCCGGAGTTGTACGTCAGCCATGGCCGCGGCGGGACCAACATCGGCAGCAGCCGCCCCGGCAGCAGGGTATTCAGGGCCTTGGCCTGGGAAAGGATCTCACTCAATTGCGCATGCGGCCGAATGACTCCCACTCGCCGGCCCGCCACAAAGGCATACGTATGGTACCAGGCCGGCACCGTTTCGAAGACCGTGCTCCCATCCGGCCGAGTCACCGGCACATCGATGTAGGCATTGGACAGGAGCAAGTGCAGCAGGACACTGCCCACACGCGCGCGCACCACCCCCGGCCACACGGGACGCCAATTGCCGAAGTTCGACCGGAGATTGTGCTCATGGCTGCTCATCAGCCGCCGGAGGCTGGTGTTGAACATGCGCGAAGACCCGAGGATTTGCCGGATGCGCTGGTCCGACAAATTCAAATGCGCACGATGGCGCTTCAGCTTCAGGCCATTGTACGTGCTTTCCAGCGCACTGCCAATGGCCAGCATCAAGTGCGTCGACCGCATGCCCAGCGACGGCCCCGCGCCATAGTGACTGATGAACTCATTGAGCAGGGTGTCCACCGTCAGCTCCGGCTTCAGGAGGCTCAGGAAGGGCACATGCGACTCGGAGGCCGCCCCGGCCGATGCACCCTCCCCCTCGCGGATGGACTGGATTTCCCGCTCCAATGCCGGCACCAGGGCCGCCCGCCAGCCGGCCATGATGGTGTCCAGCTGCTGGCTCCGGGGCAGGGCATTCTCATGGCGTCGATCATGCCGGGCCAGCATGGCCGACATCATCTCCACCTGCTCCTGCCGACGCTCGGCCGAGTGCATGGTATCCAGCACCGGGCGCAGGTTCCGCCGCATCTGCTCGATGGAGGGGGTGCTGAATTCCGACAGGCGAATCCGCTCCAGCAGCGGATCATTCGACTGGGAGGACTCGGCACCGAGCCACTCATTGTTCCCCAGCGAGTCGGCCGGCAGCGAAGACGAGGAGGAGGACCCGGGGGACAGGTCCATTCCGGCGGAAGACCGATCCATGGACCCCCCCCCCGGGCCCGAGGCCACCACCCGATGGCTCAGGCGCTGGAAGTCCGGCATCGGCTGTTTGTCACCGCCCCCGAAGGCCGGGCCCAGGTCCGAAGACAGGACATCCAGATCGTCAAACAGGCCGGAGCCCCCGATCCCGGGGTATTCCCGGATGTGCCGCGTGTCGGTCACCATGTCACTGCAGGCGGCGAAGGACTCATACGCCGCCTGGATTTGGCGGGATTCCTCCTCGGAAAAGCGGCTGGACTCCCAGAACCCCCGGACCGGTAGCTGGCAATCGAACATCGTGGCAAACAGCCGATGAAGATAGTCCTCCACGGCCCCGGGCTCGGCGGCGAAGGCGGCCTTGGCCAAATTCACGAACGTAGCCGGCGTAGGCTCGACATTGGTGTGGCGCATGAGGTGGATCACGTCGAAGGCGTTGGCGATGCCTCCACGCTCCACATGGGCCTCAATCATGGAGTGGAAGATTCTCGGCGTGAACTCGTACTGCATGGATCGCAGCCGGTTGAACAGGAAAAAGGCTCGCACCATCATGCCAGTGCGCAAGCAGGCGTCCATCATGGCCAGTGTCTCCTCGGCGCTGGCCGCACGGAAGTGAGTCAGAGGGGGAGGGGAGGGGGAGGGGAGGGGGAGGGGAGGGAGAGCAGGGGAGCAAGGAGAGCAAGGAGAGCAAGGAGAGCAAGGAGAGCAGGGGAGCAAGGAGAGGAGGGGGGCAAGGAGAGCAGAGAGAGCAGAGAGAGCAGAGAGAGCAGAGAGAGCAGAGAGAGCAGAGAGAGCAGAGAGACAAGAGAGAGCAGAGAGAGCAGAGAGAGCAGAGAGAGCAGAGAGAGCAGAGAGAGCAGAGAGAGCAGAGGGAGCAGAGGGACAGAGAAGACAGGAGAAAAACATATGTCAGTCGTCGCAACAGGACCCGAGAAAGGCCAAAGATCGATATGGGGGAAAAAAAGAACCCGCAAGACGGGACACCTACTTGATGGACATGTTTTCGAGTGTGCGCTCGGAATTCCGATCAAACTGCAGGCCGTCCCCCATGGCGATGGGCTCGTCGTTGACCGACAGCGGTGCATACGCCGCGGCGGGGAACGGCGACGAGTTGGCCGCCGCAGTGGCGGTCGCCTGCTGGTGATGGAAATGATGGTGGTCCTTGTTCGAGTGCGACCCGAGCATGCGCGCCTCCGACAGCATTTGGTTGTATGCATCGTGCGAGGTGGGCCCGGCCGAGTCGAACCCCGTCGACGCATAGAAGGGGTGGGGCACATGCGCCGGCGAAGCGCCCGACGACTGTGCCCGCAACACCAGGCGACTGGCCACTAGCGGCCGGTAGTCCGCGGCGAGACGCGCCACGAGGGCCGTGCCTGGCGACTGCCCCGCATTCCGGAAGATGTGAAGCATCGCGAGCGCGGGCTAAAAGGGGAGGCGAGGAGGAGAAGAAGCAGAAGCAGAAGAAGACCCGTGGGACCAGGACAAGGGGCAGGACAAGCAGGAGGTCAGGGGCCATCCATGCCCGCGCGCGGAGAGAAGCCAACGCAGAAAAAGAAACACACCTAAGCACACGAGAGGCGAAGAGTAGTCACCGGGAAACGCAAAGGGAGGATGATGGTGGCTGCGTGGCGGCGGGAGGGGGAGGGGGGGGGGAGGAAGAGACGGGGAGAGATGGGGAGACGGGGAGAAGATGAAGGAGGGGGCGGGGGCCTACTCTCCGGCCGAGGAAAAGGTGCACAAGCAGAGGGGGGAAGAGGAAGGGAGGAACGTGAGGATACTCTTGGCGCGGCTCCCGGCCGGCGGCGGGATTGGCTCTGCCCACCCGCCGAAAAAGCTCCCCCACCACCCCCACCGCCGCGCCCCATGCGCCAAGGAGATCCGGCCCACTCGCCGTCAACCAGGTGAGTGGGATATACCCATAACACCCGCCCACACACGCACACGCACACGCACACGCGCGCGCACACACACACACGCACGCGCACACCCCCGCACAGGGCTACCGCAAACCGCGCCAAGATCCCCGGCGCAGCCGGCATACGCGTGGGTCCAGAGGCCGGGACGGCGCCAGTCAGAAGCCCGCTGGCAGATGCCACGTGCGGAACCATCCCGGTCCCCGCGCGCCTTGCCCGGCGGCTAAGCACGGCCGCCGACAGCGGCGGGAAAAAGCGGCCGCGTGGGGTCCCGGCCCCCCCCCCCCCCCCTCAGCCCCCTCCGTCCAGTGCGAGCCCAGGGACGCCAGGATGCGCGGCCCCAGGCCCACCAGCCCCGCCTCCCGGCCCCGCCACTCCCGCAGGGAAGACACTCGCCGAAAACTCACCCACACCAGGTATTGACGACCCCCCCAATCGGCTCGATCATGTAAGTGGGCCCGGCGCGCGCACACGCCCCCCAGCTCAGCCACATGGCGGCTGCCCCAGGTCCCCCCCTCTGACACGGGCGGCCGAGCCCGCCGGGGAACCCCCCGCCGCCTCTGCCCCTCGCCGCACACAGGAGACCATGCCAGGTTTATGCCATGCCACGACCGCCGCCAGGCTCAGGGAACGAGGAAAGAGGCCGCCTCCCGCCGCCGAAGTGGCCGCCGGGGGGCACCGAGCCCGGCCCCAGCCGGAACGGATGAACCCTTGGCTAGGGTATCGGGTATCATGTGCACGAGTGCCAACGATGGTGTGGAGCGCCATCGGGCGTCCGTCGGACCCTCCTGCCGCCGTGCGTGCGGCCCGCCTCCCCCCCCCCCCCCCCCCTGCCCCCAACCGGCCGATTGTGGCCGATGCCCCCGCCCGGGCCCCCGGCACGCCGCGAGGCCAGTCCCAACGCACGCACGCGTGCCCCCGCCGCCCCCACCGTCCCCACCGCCCCCACCGCCCCCCGCACCTCGCGCGTGCCCCTCCGCTCCTCGACCGCGGACAGCCCCACCCGCCCCCGGGTGCCTCTTCCCCACGAGCACCCGCGCCGGCCGGGGAGCGGCTGCCCGGCCCAACCCACACCCGCAGACGAGATCCCGGCCCCGGGGCCAGTGCCCCGGCGAATGCGCCGCCAGCCAAAGAGCCGCAGCGCCGGGGCATGGCGCCGCCCACGCGCCGCAGCCACACCTCGCCGCGGACCGCCGCTCCCTCCCCCTCCTCCTCCCCCT